GGGGGGGGGGGCATTGCCATCCCTTCCTTCTTGCTCGAAGCTGAGTTAGCTAGCCTGTCGCTCTGCGAGGTTCCGTGGACTCACTTGCACAGCAGCACAGCCCCCGGAATAGACGAAACGTGCTTTTTTATTAATTCTCGGGCATGTTCTTTGGGGGTGGGGGGGGGGGATTTGTGATTTGTCGCTAGAGAGTTGTGGAGGTGTGCATGGGTGTGCGGAGTGGTTATCCGTTTCATTTTTTCGTTCTGTTCGCGAAGACTGGATTTGTTTTCTTAGAAGGGGTTCCAAAGGTCACTCGCTTTTTTAGTTTTTCTGCGAAGAATCACGAAACAGAACTGGGATTGTTCAAATCCCTCAGAAACCCCTATGCCCGGGAAAATGGAAAAAGCCGTTCAAGGGATCGTCGGCTCCTTTCTTTGTCCTAAACGGGCGACACGTACATACGAAGAGCTCCTGTTTGTGTCGATAGTGTTGCCTTTGCGGCGCGGTGTATCGTCACGAGGGAAGGGGGTTGTTGCCGAGTTGTGTACGGCAAAACTTTCAGGCGAATGTGCCCTCTTGACCCGAGATGCCGGGATAAATTTTTTTATCGTGGTATGCGTACGCCGTGAGGCGCCTTGGTTTGATTACGTGATTTCGTCGTTGCCGCTTTCTTGCTGTACTGCTGTAACGGTTCTCGCTCTCACCGTGATAAAAAGAAAAAACGGGAGTTGGTGAGTGCTAGTCTTTAGAGAGTTGCACACTGCAGCAGTAGTGCATTTGTCTAATCGGCTCCACGGAGTGATTTGCTCAACACTTGGAGATACCCTACCCGATATATACGATGGCTCTTGGTCGTCAGAGTCACTCAAGATAGAGGTTGATTGAGCAGGAGGTCATCACTTTGTGTTGCACTGCTCCATTTGGCCGTGTCGGGGGCCAACTACCGCTGCTGACGGTGCTTGTTGCCAATTTGAACCTTCGAACAAGATTGACGCAATACCCAAGAAATGTTGATGTTCCCCGTATTTTCCAGCTAGTAACGGGCCGGGGGTTGACCCGGTCAGACTCTGAAGGTCGCCTTGTTAAGGGTGAGGCGGCACACCGTTTGTGACAAGCACGTCGTCCGCAAGTAGTACCGCATTTGTACCGGATTTGGTCGTGCCGGTCTACGCCATGATCCCGCCGCATGTGCCGATAAGAATGGAGAGAAAATATTGTTGTCCTACAGCACAATCATACAATCCGCACTCACGTTGGCACACTTGGTTAGTTCTTTCGCCCAAAAAACTCTTCACCTCATCATTGTTCTATTTTTTACTGGTCGTCTGCACTCACTCTGCGGACACAAAAAGAGGAACAAAAAAATACCCGAAGGCGCGACATACATTGCAACACGAAACCGACGGGAGAAATACACCTAGTGTACAACGATGTAATAGATCCGACACCCACCTTCACCGTATCGCAAACCCCCCTACTTATACTTATTGTGTCTCTTCGTGGTGCGAGTAGCGGTCGGCAAGACCTCACTTCCCCCGATTACCTTCTCAACACTTCGCCGAACCGAATCAACAGCGGGATACAAAAAAAAAAAAATGTGCCCACTACGGGGGGGGTGAACCGTAGATGTGATGGCTGGCGCTGCACCGCGAAACACTTCCTTACTCGTGAAGGTCAAATACGCCAAGCGGCATTTTGCTCGGGAAGGCGGAGGAGATATCGAGACTCGCTTTCAAGACTCCCTTATTTCGAGACACTTTCACTATCTACACATCCTTAGTAGCATCCCCCCTTTCATTAGTGGTGGGTGCCGGAACTATATATACATACACAGGGGAAAATATCACCAACCACAGAACCTGCAAGCTAGCGCCTCCCACGGAGACAGGGATACAACAGTCAGGAAGGGGGCGGAAAGCAAGCAAGCACGAAACAGCACGAAACAAAAAAGCCGGCAGATCATCACACTCACACTCTTTCGACACAACCCGTTGCACGAAACGGTCACCAACAACACATCCGGGCTCGCAACACCCTTGCCCTTGGCGTCAGAGCCCTGGCCACACCGGCCACACCGGGTACAACGACGACCACCACCGACCGACTCATCAAACACCGCCGACAAGAGGAGACCGGTGAAAAAGCACACTTCCAAACAAAAGCCCACACATCAAACAACGCCCGGCCGGTCGGTTGGTTTGTTGGTTCACCGAACACCGTCTTCTCGAGCCACCACCTTCTTCCGGCCCTCCTTTCCGTTGCCTCGCTCCGCGGGCGACGGTCGCTCGCCTCGAGTCACCGCCGCCACGCCGCCCGCCGCCGCCGCCGCCGCCGCCGGTCGAGTGAGACCGCGCCCGCCCGAGCCGTCCGCCACAACTCCTCCCTCTTGCGCGAACGCTCCCCCCCCGGTCGCAGCACCAGAATCGACCAGCCGCACCACCTGGTCCACCCGCGACTCGCGGCTAGAAGAGCCGCCGCTGTCCGCAGCGCTCGCCGGCCGTTGTTGCTCCTGTCGTCTCTGGCCCTGGCCCTGCAACCCTGCCGGGGGGGGTCGCTCTGCCTGGGAGGCGGCCAGCGGCGGCCAGGCGGCATCGCCTTCCGCCGCTACGACTGCCGGCGGCCTCGCCTCCCGGCCGGCCGCTTCGCCGTTAGCTCCTCGCCCTCCCCGCGGAGACCGGCTGCGGGTCTTGCCGCGTTCTCGAGAAGGGCCAACGAACCCTCCCCCGTTCGAGGCAGCGGCACCGCCACCGCCGCCGTTCGCCCTGGGTTCTCGATCTCTCGGGCCAGACCTGTCCGTAGCCCCTCCCCCGCTGCCGCCGCCGCTTGCGCCGCCCTTGTTCCGTTTTCCCTGCCTCGCCCCACCGGCCCCGCCCCCGCCTCCACCACCAATAACCCCAACTCCATCTTTCTCGCCGTTCTCGACCCGGATACGCCCGATGGACCGGGCGGCTCCCAGCGTGTCTTCCCCGCCAGAGGCGTCGAGGTTCACGTTCGCGCCGCCGCCCCCGCCGCCGTCCAGCGGGTTCGAGCCCCCGACGTGCCGGCCCCACCGGTCGCGCTTGTTGGCGCGCACGCGGAGCTCCAGGCCGCCGTGAGCGAAGTCGCACTTGCCGGCGCCACGTCGACGCATCGGACACAGCATGCCCTGTATCGGTCGGTGATAGGTAGACATGAGGGGTGGGGGTGGGGTGGGGGAACGATGAGAGCATGCACACGAGCCACGAAACATCAGGTTTACTGGTAGTAAAACAATTGAAAAAACGAAAACCTCCATTCGACACCACCGACTAACTTTGCACCGACAACTAACGTTACTGCTTGAGGGGACTAAATTTAGCTGCCAACGAGGATACTCAGTACACCATGTTTTGGCCCCCGGAACCAAATGCAATCTAACCCTCATTCGTGTTGCACGGTGTGGTGCTTCCCCCCCCCCCCCCCCCCACCTTGGTGGTTTCCCCGGGGGTGGAGAAAACAAGCCCGGAATTTGGGGCTTGGAAAACCCCGGTTAGGGGGGCCCCCCTTAGGCGCTGGTTTTTCACGTCCAGGCGGGGGTGGCAGGGGGCTTTGAGTCCCCCCCCACCCCCGGCAAAAAAAAAAGAAAAAGGGTGTTTTTGGTCCCCACTCCAAAAAGGGCAGAAGAACCCCCCCCAAAACCAAAATGGGAAAACCCACCGTTTGTGGGGTGTCTTCCCGGCGAAAAAAAGGGGGGCAAACGAAAAGGACACACAACGGGCCCCCCCGGGGGCAAAACCAAACCCCGAAAACC